AAGCAGTGGTATCAACGCAGAGTACTCTGTATTGATCGCCGAACTGTGAGCTGACGAACTCACGTCCTCATGAAAATCGTTCGAAATTTTAAGATCGCATATTTTGGCAAATATCGCCGCGAATGGTTACAGATGACTCTTATTGCAGATATTTGTTTACACATGTGAATTGATAATTTATGCCGCATATGCTGCTTACTCCTTGTGCCAGACTCCCTTACTCTTACACCTGTAACTCAAAGTTTGCAAAAAATCGATAAGCCGATATCGACCGATGACGAAATGTAATCTATCAGACCAGCTCGGCTCCTAAGACTGGGTTCATACTGATTCTCATGTTCCGGAACTGTTCCCGCACAGTCCCGCAATGTTCTCGCACTGTAACGGGAACTGTGTGGGAACTGCAACTGTGCTGCATGCGCTGCAGCCGCCCCGCTCGCGTTTTGAACGGCGGGAGTTGGAGAATCCTCACCGTTTCCAACGGTTTTCCTTCCAGATTCCGCTCATTTTGGCCTTATTCCTCTACCCTGCTTCCTTTTCTTGATCAGCAGAACTTCGAGCTCGAAGCGGGGTTGAAGAATAAGCGCTTTTCTGTTCTGCGTATGCGACAAAAGGTGTGTTCTTGCGCTCGTCCATTTTCTCTTCGCTTTATTTTTACAGAGAAAAGGAAAATGGCCAAAAAGGAAACCCATCAGAAAACAAGAAAAAGTCCCAATTCATGCAACTTCAGAATTGCTCCCACTCCCTAATTCATGGCGAAAAGCGCTCATTCTTCACCCGCTTCGAGCTCGAAGTTCTGCTGATAAAAAAAGGAGCGGGGTAGAGGAATAAGGCCAAGATGAGAGAAATTTGGAAGAAAAACCGTTGAAAACGGTCAAAATTCTCCAACTCCCGCCGTTCAAAACGCGTGCGGGGCGGCTGCAGCGCATGCAGCACAGTTGCAGTTCCCGCACAGTTCCCGTTACAGTGCGAGAACATTGCGGGACTGTGCGGGAACAGTTCCGGAACATGAGAATCAGTATGAACCCAGTCTTAGGAGCCGAGCTGGTCTGATAGATTACATTTCGTCATCGGTCGATATCGGCTTATCGATTTTTTGCAAACTTTGAGTTACAGGTGTAAGAGTTGGCACAAGGAGTAAGCAGCATATGCGGCATAAATTATCAATTCACATGTGTAAATAAATATCTGCAATAAGAGTCATCTGTAACCATTCGCGGCGATATTTGCCAAAATATGCGATCTTAAAATTTCGAACGATTTTCATGAGGACGTGAGTTCGTCAGCTCACAGTTCGGCGATCAATACAGATAAGGGCTTAGCTTAGGCATGCTCTGAAAGTACCGTCTCTAGTGATTTCAAATTACAAAGAAGATCAGGTAAGTTTTCCAATAGGTACGCGAAAAGGGCGTACAAATTTAGGAACTTGCGTAGTATCGCAGCATTCCTCTCAGCATAACTCTGCCGAATGAACTTATGCTGCACAGAGGGCACTATTTCTGTAATCAGCGAGTCCGAAAACCTCTATGGGCGAAGTTTCCGGTCAATCCAAGATCATCAATATTTTAGCCAAAACCCGTCGGCGAGCTTTAAGAGCCTAGAACGAGAAGAAATCAAAGAGCCCGAATTCCTCGGAAAACTTGCGCATAGGGGTTATTTAGCCTGCTGATCACGAAAAACGCACCTGCTTTGCAAGTTAGCGTCTTACGGTATGGTTACGGTAACCAAAATTTGAGAGACATCTATTTTTGAAAATTAAACGGCCAATCTTTCCCTATGGAAAGGGAATCCTTCGCTACTCACTAGTACATGATAATCTACGGGGACAGCACTACTGAACCATGTTTACATAAATCGTCCATGTGTGTTCTTCGCTGAGTTACACCACTACGAATACCCGTCCTCACACAAAAATCGAGCAGATTGAAAACAGAATAGTACGAGAGTGCAGTACGTCAGAAAATTCATCTTGACGAGCTGAGCATCATGCTTTCTTCGGATTTGTATTTTATGCAATTTGAAGGAAGTTATGAAGAAAAAACGAAAAAAACGCGGATCGTCAGTTTTTGCGTTTTCTGTCGAATAATTAGTGTGGGTACTGTATTTACATCGAAGAACCAACGTCCTTAATAGCAGAATTTCTGAACAGCAAAACACTGATATTAGGTTGAACATATGCCTTGCACCAATAGTTCTGAAAATTTCGTTTTAGAATTTTAGGATGCCTAGATTACTTTTCCAATCTGTGTAATATTCTTCGTTGTATATGCCATCTGTAATTTTCGACTAAACAAACTCATTTTGAACAAACTCAAAAAAAAACTTTTTGCAGAGATATCTGATCAGTACGAATTTACAGCACTTGATCACAGAAGCAGATCGTAGCACTCAGACAAACGTAAAAGTAGAAGTTATTGGATACTTAGCATTTTTAGCAGCTGAATTTAAAGAAATACAAATAACTGTTTGTCTTTATCATCTCTTATGCCTTAACATGACGAAAACACTTTTTGCTTTTCACAATGCTACAAGCGTATATTTTCCCTTTGACTTAAATTATGTCAAAGGGATTCATTGAATTTGGGTTATGTATTTTTTGAAATATGGGTGCAAGGCTTATGTTCCAATATGCCGATAGAGAATCAGAGAATGAGGCAAGGACTTTCGCACCAGTAGTAAACGCCATGTTGCGTCATCCTCGAAAGTCCTTCGACTTTGAACGGGTTGAGTGAGAATGATGCAATATTAGCTGGTGGCTTTTTTATTGCATAATCTCTGCTCGATGAGCTGATGCATTTCGCCTAGTTGAGACATATAAATACACAAAACTTGGATCAAGTTACCTCATCAATCTTTTGTAACTGAAAATAAATAGTGCAAAAAATGTCCCAAAAATTGGCTCCACTATTTGCTATTCCCTCTCTTTTGCCGAACTAGGCATCATTTTGTAGAACTGGCTTGAATTTTACAGCAGAGAGCGAAAGCCGACAGCTCTTCGTTACCTAGAATTACGAAAAATAATTTTAAAAAGCGTTTTGTGTTATGGAAAACCAAGTATTGCTCCGTTCAAAGAGGAAATCTTACTGGTAGGTGTATCAGGAATGCTGATCCCAAGCAATGCACATTACCGCAGACCTTTGTTCAAAGGTTAAGCTGAATATACCGAAAAGTAACATTCAAATTCGTTGACATCCCGAAAGGTTACCATCTAAGTCAAAATTTACCATCTAAACCGTTTTATAAACCTGTACTAAATTGTCTGGCGGAATTTGCGCTTCTAACTCAGTGAAAAAGGTTTCAGGTGCTTTGGAAAATTTTTCAAATTGATAGTAAATGGCAAGACGCCGCTGGTAGTTCTTACTGTAATCCTGCCTTAAGGAAGAGCAAACGGCAAACGGGGTTTTGTTCCGTACTGTAGCAAGATGGTGCCAGCTCTACGAAGTACCTAGAGCTTGACAAAATCAACCCAGATAAAAGTGATACGAACGATCAAATAGGAGGACATTTTTTGGCACGTCCGCGTATACTGTGCGACTGGTCTTATTCAGCAATCTATACTGGTCCACCAAGGCTTCCTCTATTTTTCTATTCCCCAGAACAAACTAGAATTGGGATCCGTCCGTAATTTAAGCTATGTTTTGGGGAATAGCTGGTTACATAATAATGATATTTACAGTCAGTATTTAAGTCAGTTGACTCTTATTTGATTGCATTTTGAATGAATTTTGATTGAACTTTTTGTCTACTGCGAAGGACGTCTTGAGCACACTCCTGTTTTTCACGCTCCATTCATCTTGCACCCGGATTGGCTGAAGTTGCGCTGTGATATACTTTGAAAATAAGAGCATTATCAGCGTTTTCAAATGTATCAGTGCTCATAATTTGAGCCTGTTCATCAACCTTTTTTAGTCGAAGAAGACGAAGTAGAAGCAGACGAAGACATCGAAGCAGAAATCGTGTAAGCTGCTTACTTTGGATGGGGTAAGAACTGACTTGCACTGACTCGTTTAGGTACGCTTGCGCGATCTCACACACAATGACCTAGTTAAGTTAGCTCGAGCTGCTCGAGAACGGGAAGGATATGAGGAATTCTGTGATACAATTAGATGTCATGGTCTATCCATGTAAGAATCAATTTAGTACATGATGAATTGCAATGCATTTTTTGTTGTTGAAGAAATGGCCTTATACGAGCAAAGAATCGTCAGAGCAAATACTTGATGTACAAGGGCTCATTACTGTATATGCAGGTAAATTTTTCAGTACTTTTTGGACAGGTTTTTCAGGCAGTGGTGCGAAACAGATGCAACCAAAGTCGCTTTGCCAATTGGCACAGCAGTAGGTAGTCTGAAAAACACTGTGCTCGAATATGTGATGCTACCTTTCCTTCATATACTGGAAAAGACAAATTCAAAACTACCGGAGAATTGTCTACTGCCTTCTTTTTTTGTAATCGCATTAACCCTTCTCCATCAGATATGATTAATCCCCATCAACTTTTTCGGACTCTGCAGTCACATTATTCTGTTGTGAGGGTTATGCAGAAAAGTAGTGTATCTAGAAGTTAGGTGCGAATTAATCGCGGACTTCAAGGCGAAGTATTTTACATTTTTCAACTGCGTAATCGAATATCTATCGGGGGGGGGGGTAGAGGATTATATGTCGCAAAAAAAAGGCGGTCCCTCGGTCATTTGCGCGTATACGCACCCTTGTATATGCGTGGACATGCGTTCCTGTAGGAAATCCGCACGCGAATCTTCGCCATTCGGCGACATATACAGTCTGCCCCAATCGGGATCAGACCGAACCGTCGGCGTGGATTTGCGCGCTCGCAGCGCTAGGCGTTTGCGCTGCATATGCGCGCTATCGGAGAGAGCGAGGAGATCGAAGACGTGACCGCGAGACCTTAGCGACGCGTACTCCCGCCATGCCATTTTTGGCCTGATTGGGAATGGAACAGACTGTAGTCCTCCACCCTCTGTCGGGGAGAAGTTTATTGTTTTTTGGAGGTACTCGCAATTGCACTATAGAAGATGAAAAAATCTTCTGAGCAGTATCTGATGCAGAATTTGCTCCTCTTTGGACAGCCATGATTGCTGCGTTTTTCTTTGATTAAGGCTGAGATAATCGCAAAAGATTGCAAAACTTTCGTTGTCACCCTGTATAAATTACGAATTCATAGAATGTTCATCACAAAGTAACCGAGCGATTATTGTGCGCTTTTTATTAACGCCATAGTAATGAAATTTCCAGCGCGCATTTGTAAAATTGAATAATATGGCGATTTGGTCCGCAAATTTTTACGCGCAAAAAACAACTATCAGAAAGAGAATAAGTATGGTAACTGAACTGTGAATACTTCATGTTTCAACGATTTCGAATAGACAAAATATAAAACTTAAACAGAGTTCAACTAGAAGATTTAAAGGTTGTTGTTCAATAATGCACCTTTACCAAATTCAAACTTCAAGCGAGTACTGACTCAATACCTTGGGTGTTGCTTGACGATGGCGTAAATAAAATGATCATCCATTTTCAGACGGCATGTGTTATGCTTGTATGTTTCATGGCTGCTATAGTTTCTCGTTATATCAAAGAAGATGACCAGTCATGGTTTTATTGTACACAAACTACCATCGAGGTGAATACGAGTTTGCAATTTCTCTGCTTGCTTGCTTTTTTAAAGCTTTTTCTTAATGAACTTTCCAGGCTGTACTGCTCGCTATTACTTTCTTAGTAATTCTGTTTGAAAGCTTCGGTAAGAGACATGTCAAGCAAAAAAAGTTGTTTGCCTAGGCCTGAGATTTTGTAGTTATTCGAATTCTAATGGTGCTGCTTTTTCTGACCGCTCTTTTTCTAAATCTTCTCACAATAGCGTTCTACATGTTATTCGACGCTCAAGCCGTTGCTTGCATGGACATGGAAGAAATTTTTGGGTAAGCAAAACCAAGATTTAATGCTTAACGAGAAAAGTGACCAGCACTGCTTTTAGATCCATAGCTTGCTACTGGCTACGCCTACCTACCCAATACCATACCGTCTACTGTTCTTTGCTCCTCGCTTTACTTCATTTCTTAGCTTTTATAGCATCTCTGGTAATATCGCTTGCTCCTTTCACTAATGTCTAAGAGATCTTTGATTTCAAGTTGTTGAATCATTACTACGATGGATCCATAGTACATCTTGTCGAAATCGCTAAACAGCTAGGATATAAGCCGGTAGGAGCGCCTAAGCTTGACCGGTACATTCAGATCATTATTACAGTGTTATACATACAAAAAAGAAGCCTGCGAATCTCGACGAAGTCGTAGAAGGTTCGCCCTCAACAGCTGTATTTTTTCAGGCTTCACTCATGCTCTTCTGATTTCAGACGAAGTGAAGGCAGACGCTTCGGAACCAATGTGGTTTGTTTCTACTTTCCACATTTTTTCTCGTACAGTGGAGCAAATTCTCAGTAAAAAAAACGCTCAACGAGTAGCACATTTGAAAGAGGAAACAGTCGGCATTAAGATGGAGTCAATTGTACAGTTGTTTATAAGCTGCTGCATGACGAAAGCTCAATATCTTTGGGCGCGAACATGGCTATATTAGCCGCAGAGCGCATGAGGCGCAGGATTTTGAAGATACGCGCGCGCCATGTTCGCGCCCGTTCAATTAATAGTGTTTCTGCGACTTTGTTATACAGCAGCCTTTACAAAATTGCTTAACATCTTCACTTTCATTGACGACTTGATTCGTAGCCTTTGAAGTTATCTGCGATATTCACGATGGGTATGAGCACTGGACGAAACCAATCCCGTGAACAGTGTCTTGCGGGGAAACGGTGGATCTTGCTTGCTCATAGAAAGACTCTGTTTGCTGAAACCTTAGCGTAATTAAAAAGCCAGAAAGGGCCAGAGCCCGGTTCCAGTTATTTACTGAGTTTTTCCGATACTCGATTCACTTTGGACTCTTTGAAGTCCAAATGGGATATATTGTTAACCCAAAGCAATCTTATCTTTAGAGAAAATAGGAACGAGATCACACAACGTTTACTCATTTTTAGAAGTCTCATTTTATGATAAGATATAGTGTTAGAGGCTTGTTGCCCAGCTTTTCTCTTGCGCAACCTCAACCATCTCTTATAAGGAGAAGGGGCAATTGGAGACATAGCTGTAAATTTATCATGTTACCTCAGTGCATATCACTTTTTTCGTCGAAGTCTTGACTGGGAATTGGGTTTACAGTGTAGGAATGCGTTGCACCTGGAATAAACATGGTTTGTAAATGATAAACTTTACAGGACGTCAAACAGCTCCCGGTTGGCACGGTAATCACCACGGTAGGTTTTTTCGTTTACAGACGTTGAACTCCCTTACCCACAATATCGTCATTTTAGGAAAGGAGCACATCCTACAAATGGAAGGGTAATGTACAACCTGGTGGTGTGGTGATCGGTTCAGGCATGGAATCGATGACAGATTCTGTATGCGTGTATTTTGAACCATTTTTACTACAGTTGAAATAAAATTTAGGTTACTCTTCAAGCTCCTACTAAAGAAGCTGTAAAGCGCGATTCCAAGTTCACTGTTAGTGATTATGACTCCTTTGCTTGCCCTTTACAAGTACTTTTACAGCGATATGTGATGGTAGATGCTGTCAGAGCCAAATTGAAACGTGGCGGTAGGGTGGTACCGGCGAGGAAGAGGGTCTCGATAGATCGACAAGCCTTGGAAAAGAAAAAGAGCCGTCGAAAGACATCAGCGAGCAAAGAACTACAACAAGGAGAGTTACCAACAAGACCAGGCGGCAGCACATCTAACATAGCAAACGAATCTGAACTCGAAACAATCACTTTCAACAGCCTTTTAGAGGTATGTCCATTTTGAGATTTCAAGCAATTACCATTAAGAACCAGGGCCCGGCACGAGCTTGTCAAATGACAAGCTGGAAATCGTTTTCGGCAAAAAAAAAGCAAAGGGGAAATCGTTTTTGCGGGGTCCGGGGCGGAGCCCCGGAAAAAAATTGGTAGTGCACGTTCTCTGCTTATTTTAACATGTTATGTGCCTCAGCATGCGAAGACTGGAGTTCGCGCGCGTCAAACCGCGCCGTCGCTAATTGCCGCACGCGCGACGTCGCTCAAACGAGCTATTTGTAATGGCATACATGACTAGTTCTCAATGTACGCGTCACGGTATGACACCAGATTTTGTAGGCGAACGGAGAGAGGCTAGTGGAAACAAAGTATGAAAAATTATGAAAAACTTATGTGAACGGGACGAGTAATAAGCATTTTTTCCAAAGATTTTGCAAAATTGGTAAATGAAGTTGTAAATTCAAATGGCTCGTTTGCAACGCGCAGATGACGATATGGTATGAAACTTGGTACGCACGTGGACACAAGCTTGTAGGAGCTAACTTAGGAGTTTCATTGAAAAATTATGTGACTGAAGGTTGTGGCAAAGTTTTTTCTGAAAATTTCCCGCTACTAAAGAAATGGAAAAATGGCTCGTTTGCAACGCAGAGGCGACGAAATCGCGCGGGATTCGGTGTGTATATGCGCAGTAGGACTAAGTAACAAAGTATGAAAAATTATGAAAAACTTATGTGAATGAAGAGTTTCCCCAACTTATTTCCAAATGTCATTAGCTTGTCATTTGACAAGCTAATGACAAGCTGAGCTTGGCAAAACTCTCAATTCACATAATTTTTCCAAAATTTTTACATAAATCTACTCTACGCCTAAACATTAGTATATACTGAAAATTTGGTCCCAAACCTCCTCCTCTTCCCATTGCTAGAAGCAAAAATAGCCTCAACAGCCCCGTTGTTTAAGGAGAAAAGCGCGCTCCAATCGATATGCGCGAAAACGGCGTCTCTCATTGCTATAACCGGGGTTGCTTCAATATTTTCTTATTTTTTCTACTTGTTTTTCTTTTCCTCGTACACTTTTTGTAACCATAGTAGACTGTTAATGTTTTGCCATGACTTTAAGTGCAGTTTTTCGGTGTCGTTCGATCATTTGCTCTCTGATTGTGCTATAATTTGGTAGGATGTTGAATATGCCTACTACGCGTCCGTTATTGTAATTATGTCCATTTGTTCTATCATCGTGAATGTACTCCAGATTAGTGGACAACGACAAAAAACGGTGATTTTTGTTTGTTGTGTGCGTATTGGATTTAGAATTTTCAATTGCACCTTCATCATAAGGCTGTTAGACTTAATGAAATAGTTTGCGGCCATATCTATACCAGCATTTGAGAATATCATTCTCAAATGATTCTCATAATAACGCCCCATAGCCATTTTAGTTTGCTTGGCATGGTTCATTCGAGTAGCGAACTAGATGTGATTCGCAACGTTGCTGCCGTTATTCGTATGTGCAGTGAGCAAGTAAGTTTCGAAAAGACTTTTTTCGGGATTTTGCATCCTTCTTGTTTCTAACTTGTATTGTCGATTCGTTGACCGCACGAACTGCTCAAACGCTGCGGACCACGCGCGTCGCGGTTGAATTGTTGCAATAGCGCGATTTGTACAATGGCGAATTTGTACTGGAGCAAGCGTTTCACTCAGACACTCGCACCGGCCGGCGGCCGCACAAAGACCGGCTGGCGGGACCACATGTCATTTCACTCAGCCGCGTAGTCTACGCCCGCCGGCCGGTATTCGGACGGCCGCCGGCCGGAAAGGTACGGCCGCCAGCCGGAAAGGTACGGCCGCCAGCCGGTGTATATTGGGTAACGGCGCAACAGACCGATAACAGAGCGCGTTTTTTCTCTTATTCTAGGTCGCGCGATTACCGGCAGGTAGAGGTGTGATTCCAATAAAAGACAGCTAATGGAGCACGCTTTCACTATTTTTGTAGTCATCCATCTCTATTCACTTTTATTGTGATTTGTGCAGAAATCGTCTACACTAAAGTTTATTGGATTATTAAATCGATTACAGAAAAATTTCACTCAATGATTATTGCAAAATATGGCAAAAATATGGCAAAATATGGGATAAATTAAGGAAAAAACTTCTAGATCATGAGTGAGATAAAATGTCATATAAGAGATACAACGTAAAGGCAAAGAAAATTATTATCACCAAGGACGCCCCTGCATGGAATGGGAATCGAAGATGGAGTTAGGATATCTTTGGAGCCCTGGGATGCAATGAGAATCGAAAGTGGAATTTAGGATATTTCTGGATATAAAAAATGAGAACAAATTCGGCACGGTTTTCACAAGTGCAGTCACAGAATTTTGCAGTCGTTTTTGAACTTCGCTGTCTTAGTCTGTTTCTGGATATACAAAGAGGTAATTTTGAGCACATTATCCAAAAGTGTTATCCGCCTCATGTTATGTTGGAAAAACCTTCGCTGTCCAAAAAGTTGCCAACATGGAAAACCGTGCCAAGGCCGTGCAGAAGCAAGTTCAAAAAAGAAACAGAAAAAAAACATACAAGGCAGGAGATGAGATACAAAGATACATGTGGGGAAGATACAGAAGAAGATATACATACATGCGGAGTGAAATTCAAAAAAGCTATATGAACAGATATACAATTTTACAGGAAGAGAAAAGTGCATCACTGACGCTGCTGACGGGGGGAGACGTTTTCGTTTCCGTGACGGGGAGAAACGTTTTCGTTTCCCTCTTCAATTCCCTGGGAGGTATCGGATACGCGCACTCGCTTGCCCTTTCTCTGAAAAGAGGTGATTACTTTTGAGAAAATAGCGAATGTATGGAAACTTACGTTGCTGGGTATGAATCTTTCTTCCTCAAAATCGTATCGATAGTTCCTGACGTCGCGTCTGAAAGAAAGTGTACAGCACCAACAGGATATCAACGTAAAAGTACTCACAAAGCAATTTGCAGAGCTTTGAACAATTCGGTGCAATAAAACATCTTCTCCGCCAACCGATCGCCCGACCTTCGATTAGATCGAACAATGCATATGAGGGTTGAGGAGGAGCGAATCCACTATCGAAGAAAGCATTCAAAGGTTTCGAACAAAAGGACGATGCAAAAGGCGCCTATGCTCGATAGCGGACTCACAGAATCAGGATATTTTGAATACAAAATCTGCAACCTACCTGCGACTGCCCTTGACGGCCCTGGTTCTGCTCCGCTGGAGTTGATCTCGAGCAACCCTACAAGCACAGTCTACAGTGAAGCTATGTAAAATGCATACTAAGAGTTATCAAGATTAGATTACCTTTCCTGAAAGTATAGAACAGAAGAAGAGGAACAAGAACAAAGAAGAGCACTCCTGAAAGTAATTCGTTGATACACGCAGCTCTAAAGAATACAATAACTTACTTCCATGTAAGATTATCCCGCTTTGTATCGCACGCCAACCCGACATCAGTATGCAAGCCTGTAATTACAAGATCAATACTTATATAATATTTGGATAAGCATTTTTTTTATGACCGGCCTAAAATGTTAGAAAACTTCATTGAATTCAAACGAAACTTTGCACATATGAAGATCGGGGTGGGGCGGGTGTCACTAAGCTTTTTCACCGAAAATCACCAAGTGGCGCTATCGATTTATCGATTTTTTGCGTTTCTCGCTTAGCAAGTCCGTTATGACCGGCCTAAAATGTTAGAAAACTTGATTGAATTCAAATGAGACTTTGCACATATGAAGATTGGGGTGGGGCGGGTGTCACTAAGCTTTGTCACCGAAAATCACCAAGGGCGCTACCGATTTATCGATTTTTTGCGTTTCTCGCTTAGCAAGTCCGTTATGACCGGCCTAAAATGTTAGAAAACTTGATTGAATTCAAATGAAACTTTGCACATATGAAGATTGGGGTGGGGCGGGTGTCACTAAGCTTTTTCACCGAAAATCACCAAGTGGCGCTACCGATTTATCGATTTTTTGCGTTTCTCGCTTAGCAAGTGCGTTATGACCGGCCTAAAATGTTAGAAAACTTGATTGAATTCAAATGAAACTTTGCACATATGAAGATTGGGGTGGGGCGGGTGTCACTAAGCTTTTTCACCGAAAATCACCAAGTGGCGCTATCGATTTATCGATTTTTTGCGTTTCTCGCTTAGCAAGTCCGTTATGACCGGCCTAAAATGTTAGAAAACTTGATTGAATTCAAATGAAACTTTGCACATATGAAGATTGGGGTGGGGCGGGTGTCACTAAGCTTTTTCACAGAAAATCATTCACTGGCGCTATCGATTTATCGATTTTTTCATGTTCTAATCTCTGTTGAGCTGAAAATGGCAGGAAGGGATAACTGAGCATGATTAATTTGATCAAAATATCTACAACTTTGACCACTAAACTTTTTTGCTTTTTTTGATTCTTTGTATGCCACATTCTGGAGACTAGCTGATATCCAACTATGCGTTAACCTTTCGCAACGGGTTTCGTCGACTGATTAGCCCATCAACAAAATCAAAATGGTTCATCCACGAGACCAAATATGACCAACAAATCAAAATACCCTATCCCGGCCTTTCGGTTCATTCATACCATGCCTTCATCGGTCGTACCTCCTTCGACTACTGTTATTACCGAGACCATGGTGGCGCCGACATTGACCCCCTCCAGCAATGGACCGTCCCCCTCCATACCTCAGTCGCAGATCCGTATCGCCCAGAGAACCCGAGCCCGTACCGCAGCAAGGCGCACTTCTGAAGCCATGCGTAGCCGCCTTCGTCGTAGCCGAGAAACACCAGAAGAACGAGAACGGCGTCTTGCCTCAATGCGTGAACGTCATCTTCGTCGACGGCAACAGGAACCACAGCTCAACGGACACCTTCAGGAGACACTGGATCAATCCAGGCATGGTGCGAGCCCAGAACGGGTTGGCCAACGAGGATACGAGCCAATCAACGAGAACACAGCACAAACGATCTCTACGCTTGACTCGCGGCAACAAGTAATGTTTGAACTGGCAGCTACCTCCACTTCCAGTTCGCAGATCACATTGCGCAGAGAACTCGAGCACGTGGCGCAAGGCGGAGATCTTGAAGAGCGACTTATCAAGAACAATATCAACATTGCTAATTCAACATTCCCACACCGTCGTTAGGCCGTCGTCCCACGCTCACGCGCACGATATTGCATTTCGCTCAGCCGAAGGTAATCGCTTATATGGGACTTTAAATTCACAGCAAAAGGCAGCGGTTGACACCATTCTTGGTGCTCTCGATGTCCCAGATGCTCCAAAGCTTTTCTTCTCGATGGTCCGGGCGGTTCAGGGAAAACGTGGACCTATATATGTCTTTTTAATATCCTCATCGGTCAAGGGCGCAAAGTCGCGTGCACAGCGTGGACAGGAATCGCGGCCAACCTGCTCCCATCGGGTCGCACAACGGTGTCGTTGTTCAAGCTAAATATCTTGAACAACTGCGAGACATCATCCCACAGAAGGCAGATGAAGGACGCGAGACTGCTCGCCGAAAACGACGTGTTCATCTGGGACGAAGCCTCTATGATCCCAAAAACGGCTTTTGAGACGGTGGATGCTGTACTATGCGATATCATGCAAGTGGACAAGCCCTTTGGCGGAAAAATGGTCGTTCTCGGAGGCGACTTCAGGCAGATCTTACCGGTTGTTCGCAGCGGATCGCGAGCAGACCAACTAAACATGTGCATTAAGCAGTCCTCCCTTTGGTCGCATTTCATAGTACTCCGCCTTTCCGAAAATATGCGAGTGACGAGCCGCGATGCGGATTGGAAGGACTTTCTATTGCGTGTGGGCAACGGCACCGTCAATGACAGCCAGGGACGAGTGGAACTGCCAACGGAAATCATGGGTCGAGGGGATATAGTCCAAGAGCTATACGGCGACTGCATCGAACCATTGGTTGATTTGTCTGATCAGGCTATCCTTGCCCCCAAGAACGCCGACATGAATTCCATAAACGAACAAGTTCTAAGCCGCATACAAGGTGAAGAAAAGATTTACTATTCGCACGATAAAATTGTCATCGTCGACGCTAACGACCAGAATCAATTTAGTACTACCGAGTTTCTCAACACAATCTCTAGCTCCTCCTTGCCGCCGCACTGTCTCAAGTTGAAAGAAGGCGCCATCGTCATGCTGCTTAGGAACTTGGATGTTTTATCCGGGCTAGAACAATGGAACACGACTACAAGTCCGCGATATGGGCCGTCGTCTCATACAATGCAAATTCATAATATGTAATCGGCATGGGCAGTCTGTCGTGATTACGAGGATCCACAACAACAACGGCAAGAATCTGCCCTTCAGACTCCGGCGCTCCCAATTCCCCATCAGATTGGCGCTCGCTATGAGCATCAACAAGGCCCAAGGCCAATCCTTCACCAAGGTTGGATTGTGGCTTCCCACCGATGTCTTCAGTCACGGTCAACTCTATGTGGCCATCAGCCGTTCGAGGTCGCGTGAAGGTCTCATTGTGCAAGTCGCCAATCCAAAGCAATCCAATCAACGTCGTTTTCACTGAAGTCCTGTGAAGTTCTACACTCTAAGATTTTTGTTGTTACGGATGCTTCTTCGCTACTGTTGTTGTGTCATAGGCCTTCTCTGTTGTACTTATCGTTGTTGTTGGCATCTTCTTTTTTGGGGTAGTCACTGTTGCAGCCATTCTATGTTGTTGTTAGTTGCATACTATTTGTTGCTTATGATGTTGATTCAATAAACTTGCAGGTACAAAATTATGTCTTCGGTCTGTCGATCTAAACAGGTCATAAACAGAAGTAGTTCGTACGAACAGGCAATCAAATGACTTGATCTTACATTGGTATACATTAAAATGAAAAGTGTACGAGGCAGCGAAGCTGCCGAGTAACAGCCGAATCTGCCGCGTAGCGGCAGAAAGCGGCTGGTAAGTAAAAATTCAACGACGTAAATCACGAAAGAACGCGAGTTTTACACTAGAAATATGATGGTAGGTAAGCAAATACATTGTAGGAGAAAAGACCAATGAACAAGTTCCAAATCCGGATTGGTTTCCATATCATGAGGTGAAGATGTCGAAATTGTGGTATTCATGCACTAGATGTCGAAATTGTTTTGACATCTAGTGCACTGTAGAAGCGATTTTGTGCAGCTCGCGCGCTTTTGCACAATAGAGCTGCCGCCGGCCGGTATGATGTTTTGGAGCGGTCGCCAGCCGGTATTTGGCTCCGCCCAGATTTAAAGAGCGGCCGCCGGCCGGTGCAAGTGTCTGAGCACCTCGCTGAGCTTGCTCCGCAGTGATGTCCAGTCCATGCAGTCAACGAATCGACAATACTTGATTATATCCTTTTCATTCAGCCTCATGGCTGTATCGTTAAATGTGATGCTGCGCTCATTCAACGAATTTTGATTGTGAATGAAAGTGTGCTCATCGGCGAGTCTGCTGCTGTCACTAAAGTGTTACCTGCCTTATCGTTTCTGTTAACCAATATCTCAACATTTCTGAGGATAGACTTGTTAAAAATGCGCATGGTACTCATTTTTACCTCAGTAAATATTCAAAACATGTACTGTTTTGTGGACCCCATTCTCCCCATATTATCGAAATCGCAAAGTAAAGGAAACGTTTTTCAGCTTGTTGCTTTTGCATCAGGAGTCCTGTAATAGGTAGACTTAATTTGTATTTTTTGGCTGTAGTATTAAGGAACAAGATTTCCCATAAAGGGTCAGCTTGTTAGATCGACTATATACCCAAGACCTATCAATTTTTGATTCACTAGAGAAACCCAGTTTAGGTTTAATAAGTTACCTTTTCAACGTAACTTGTTAAACCTGAACTGGGTTTTCTTTTTACCGTTTATCATAAAGAAGTACAGCGTACTGGGCGCTGAACGAACGCTTTTTGATTTGTCGAATAGGCTTCTTATGAGAGTCATGAGGCTAGTGAGACTCATTCTCCTTTGGCTTTTTTGTCCTCAGTTGGACCTTCTTTCTTTTTTATTGAACTTGTCAGTTGTTTTCTTTCCAGTTTGTCGGGTTTCTCAGCTGTATATCTGGATGTGTTGTTTATACGATTATCATAATGATATTGCAATTTAGCAGTCTGTGACGGGTGATTGTGCGCTCTTGACATCATCGTTAAGGCTTGACACATACCTCGCGTCGGTTGTCTATATGTAGCGGTGGCAGCAACGCATTTGATGCGTATCGATTGCGGCGGAGTGACGCTGCTGCCTTTCGCTGCAGCAGCTAGCACAAAAGGTCATGTCCACAGCTAGCGAGTCATTTTGAGCAGCGCTGCTCGAGCTGATCATCGCTGCAGCTGGGTTTGCAGTCAACTTACGCTCCCTTTCATGAGCTTTTCTCAGCTGCTTGAAGCTGCAATCAGCTGTTTTTGCATGAAACTACGAATTTTTTACCACTCTTCAAGCTGCAACTTTATTCAGTGGATTTTGATCATGATTATTCTAATTCTGCTGGGGCAGTTAACGGTCTCTACGCTCAAACATCAACCTTTTATATGCTCGTATTGGGGCTACTTTTCCACCTGATGGTGAAGATGAAAACATGTACATAGGACTTTCAAAAGAAACGGAACATGATTTCTAGGTCTTAATTCCTATTCAAAGTAATGTAATTCAGCGATAGAGCAGTGATTCGGTCAGTTTTTGCCCAAAAACCCAAAAAACCGGATTGCAGCGCTGATCAGCTAATATTTAACTGCTCGCGGGTTTTGTCCATACCTTTGCAGTGAGATATGTATCAAGCCTTAATTGTCCTTCCTGCTCTTCCAGATCAGACACTTGGAAGACTTCGTATTTCCTTTGGTCATAGAAGTAGGATTTTCACAGCTGCGATGGCCGATATAAGTGCGCAGTCAGACGAAGAAAAATATTCACAGCATTCGTTGTTTTTTAAGAGTTTTCTTTCAATGAAATTTTTTCTCCTTATAAAGCGTCCGCGGCACAATAAGGACCACTTTTTGGGTCAAAGAGGTATTCGTAAACAAATTTTGGGTCAAAGGGGAATTCGTTTTCGAAAACCCCTTTTGACAAGCTCGTGCCGGGCCCTGTTAAGAACTGAAAATCAGCGCAATCGTCCTTTGGTTCAGATGGATCCAAACTCTCCGCGCTCCTATATAAGTGATAAATCGCAGAGGAAGACGAAGAGCAGGAAGAGAAAGAAGTAGCCAGTTCCCCCTATTCCTTAGAACTGATGTCACCGCGATAGTCTTTTTTCAAAATGGGCTGCTCTCTTTGCCTTCTGTTTAACTTGCATTTGTGTTGCCATGTAAGATGTCGAGAACAAAAGCTTTTGAGTTACAGCATCGCAGATTATTTGAAGTTTTGCCATGGTTATTTCTCTTTTCTGCAGCATACATAGACAATGTAGGTGTAATCGCATTCACATATTGAAACACTAAATATGTATAAAATGTGTCATTTACGGAGTAACTCCTTGATGCTAGGCACACGAGAGACTGATATAGGATGGAAAGAGTCCTCTGCACTGACTAGGTCGGTGTGAGCACCAAGGACATCTTGGTCATCTGCGGAGAGAGAGAGAGTATAGAATAGAATGGTGAAAACGGTCACGAACCATATATTTTCTTTAGATGTGCTCTCACTCAGACAGCGGATCGGACCCCTCCGGCGGAGAAATGGCAGGGCCGCGGGGTTTCCCCAGCGGGGTGTCTGCCACTCATGCTCCGGAGCCCTCCCATTTGTGCTCCGGAGCCCTCCCATTTGTGCTCCGGAGACCTCCAATTTGTGCTCCGGACCCCTCCAATTTTCTGCTCCGCGGCTCTTCCAAATCTGGCGGACTCGCGGCGGGCAAATTTCTCCGGCGCGGCTCTGCCAAATCTGGCGTACCTCCGGAGCAGAAATGGCGTACCTTTGCAGCAGATCCGGAGAAGGGTCCCACTCGCCTGCCGGTGATGTCACCGCGACCTACAAGAAGGGACCGCCCAATCGCCCCGCTCTCATTGGTCAACTGGGTCCGGCGCGACTCTGGCAGATTTCGACTGTCCGGCGGAGGGGTCCGATCGATTGTCTGAGCAAGCCCACTTTGCCTAACATATGACTACAAATTAACAGATAGCACTTCAAAAACAAAAATTTTAGGGCTTCCTTTTGTGCTGTAGTAGAATCACTCACATGCAACCGTAACTGAAGTTTTGGCGTCATTTTTTAAGCAACGTTGAAAACCAAGCTTCGGGTGGTATGATTTGTGACCCTTTTTGAGAATATTGGCAATAGTTGGCATAGTAACGGGCGGACAGATCCGCAGGCTCCACTGACCCAGCACAACGGTTCAAAGCAAAAATGGTTTATCAAAATGACAAACCGGAGAAGCTGATAACAACAAAAATATGAGAACAATAACAAGAGGAATGAAAGGCTGCAAAGAATGAGCAAAGGAAAAAACAAAGTTCAGATCACAATCGAACGAATCAACAACCTGAGGCCGGCAACCTGAGATATGGTGCAGCGTATGCCTCACAACTACGCTCTATGGTCTTACACACTCAAAAAAATTAGACTGCTAGAAAAACTAAGTAACTAATTCAACCTAACCTAAACCTAACCTAACTAAACAAGGCCTAGACTAAGCTAACGTCCCCCCTGGGCATAAGTGTCGTCCCGACACTCAGTAGGGTCTAAAATGATATCCCCGATCGCTTCGTCGCCCGTGTCCCCATCCTGGATGTCGATACATGTGTCCGCGTCCTGGCTGCTCCAGTCCTCGTAGTACTTCTCTGCCTGGTCCGTGTAGTGCGTCTCCACGTCCTCGTCCGGTTGCACTTCGACCATGCAGTCGATATCCATATCCATCATGTGAACGATTTCCATACTGGTGACGGTCCGCTTCACGATGTCTGTTCTTCTGCTGATGTATCTGCGTGAGCGGCTCTGAAGGCATGTCCCCTTTGACGTAATCAACCAGCGTGCTCAGAAAATCCCAAATCACCCTACATGGATATCCTGTCCACTCGTTTTTTCTCGACCGTATTCCTAGCGCAAGTGCTGGTTCGGTCACAAAAGGAGCGCGGTATCTTCGTTACGACGTTCGCTCTAGTGGGGTACGCGGCTTCTCTCACTGTGTTCATCAAGTCAATAGCTTTCAATCGCGTCGCTTCCCTGTCAGCTTCACCTCGTGGTGGCGCAACAGCGACGATTTTCGAGCCTCCTCGTGCCGCGTTGGTGAAGGCCATGCTGAGCCTCATCCATTCTCCTTCAGGTGGCACTTCATTGCACGTAGGTCCGACAAAAATTATATTGTGAGGCTCTTGGACTTCCCGCAACTTCTTGCAGATATCCGACAAGCTCTTGTAGATGATTGGCGTGGTGTTTTCCCCAAACTGTACTGCGTGCTTGAACCATGTGAATCCTTGGGGTAACAAGATTATAGCCTTTTCCTTCTTCTTTTCGACTCTGACATCTGTCCACGAATTCGTCATCGCAAATCGAACACCTTCGTTCATCAAAGAGTTTACTTGGTCGGTCGTTAATCCCGAGTTGCCATCGTGTCGCATTAATAAACTGCTGCCATCGTGGTGCATCAGATCCCGCATCGTATGTAGACAGTGGCGTTTGAAGTAGACCTAGGCCTTCTGGGATCCCGAGGTTGTTACAAAAACGTAGTTCTTGTCCCTCATCAAGAAATTCCTTTTGTCGGCATCTCGTTCTTGTTCGAAGATTGATATATATCGGGCCAATGAAAAGATGCTTGTGACTGGCAATGTCGATATCACTGGATCTACACCAGGGACCACGTCGCCAAAGGTCTTCCCCTTTATGTCGCACTCGAACTCGTCTTCGCCGGGTATTCTTCCAGGGCACGTGTGGAAAAGACTCAACGCGGAATTATCCGAGAAGTCTGACGATGTTGCCCTGCAAAAAATAGCATTACTCTTATTGTTTGTAGGCGCTAACTTTTTCCTACTCCATCTTTTTGTTTGGATTTGTTTATCGCCTATTTCTCTCGGTACCTTTATCAGCATGTCATATTGGACTCTGATAGGCTCATCGTTACTGTACAATCGCGATAAAAATTCTGAATTTTCACTGACTTCCAACACTCTAAAGGGACCATTCCATTCATTACAGAATTTAGGCTACTTCCCCACGCTTTTTTCACGCGGCAGACCTACCCCTGGGTACTCTTTTCGCCCAACGTTGAATCTTTTATCGTAACTTTCCTTCATTTTAACTCTCATTTCTGAGTTACGCTCCTGCACCGACTTCTGAATCATCTCTATGCTAGCTAGGAGCTCATGTTTATAATCTTCAAGATCTACATGGTTAAATGAGAGTTTTTCTTGAGGAATTACTTTAGACGGGAATCAAGGATCGAATGCGTGTAGTATATAAAAGGGACTTTCACCTGTAGCTTCATGCGGAGATGAGTTATATGCAAAAACCACCATTGGTAGCAATGTATCCCATTCCGCGGGTACAACTGTCTTTTTCTTTAACATTCTAGTCAGTGTACCGATGACCCTTTCTGTGATACCATTCTCCCGTGGGTTATAACCCTTGGTCACGGACTGGTCTATACCCACAATATCACAGATTTCCGACAGAACATTGTTTACAAACTCCGGTCCTTGATCGGAGTGTATTGCTTTGGGCCAGCGGCGACCTCCGCATACCCATCTTTCAAAAAAGTTCTCGCTACTATTTCAGCTTTTTTGTCTGCAATGGGGTACGCTCCCACGAATTTGGAGAAGTGATCAATCACTATTAATGCGTACTTATTTCCCCTTTCCGTGCGTCCTAACTCCACCAAATCCATGTCTACCAGCTCAAACGGTGCGTTGGTCACGATTGGCTTGAGTGGAGGAGTGTTCTTTTCGTGGACTCTTGTCAAAAAACACTTTGTACAAGCTTTTGTCCACTTTCCCAGATCTTCTCGCATTCCATTCCAGAAAAGATCTTTTCTCAGCTTTCTGTACAACTTCTTTGCATTCAGGTGTCCTGCTAATGCACCTGAATGTGCTTCGTCGAACAACTCTTTTCTCTTGGATTTGGGACGACTTTTAGCGGCTTGTCCCCGTCCATCATCATGAGCAGTCCTTCACTTGTAAAGAAATCTGCTACATAGAGTTTTCTTCCGCATCTTGGTAGTTGGATTTCTTCCCCCAGGGTACCTTTTTCCAGTCCTTCAAAGACCTTTGTATAGTCTTTGTCTTTTTTCAACTCTTCCAGCCATTCTGTGTCGGCTTCTCTTCGCAACATGCTGTATCTACCGGAAAAGCTGTGCGCGATAATGCGTCTGCCACCGCATTTGTGCTTCCCTTGACATACTGTATCTCTAGATTGTACTTCTGTACTTCTAGTGCCCATCTTAGCACTCTTGCAGAAATTGCTGTCCTTTTGAACAGACTTGTAAGAGGCAGATGGTCTGTTCTGACTATAGTCTTCATTCCATAGACAAAGAAATGAAACTTCTTCAAAGCAAAAACTAGGGCTAGGGCTTCCAGATCTGTTATGTGGTACCTGCTTTCGGCTTTAGCCAACCCTCTTAAAGCAAAGTATACGGGATGCAACATCTTATCAGTGCTCTCCTGACATAAAACTGCACCCAAACCCTCCACGCAGGCATCAGTATAGATTATAAACGGACGAGTTCCTTCCTTTGCTGCATTCACATCTGGCTGGGCTAACACTGGTGCTGTACTCAGCTTTCGCTTCAAGATGTCGAATGCTTCTTCTTCTTCCTGCGACCATTTCCAAGGGTTCTTGGGACTTGTGAGTGTGTACAACGGCTTAATCTTCGAAAAACTCAATATGAATTTCCGATAGTAGGCAGCCATACCAAGAAAAGTACGGAGCTCCTTTAACTTCGTTAGAGCAGGATACTCGACAAGCTTCTTCACTTTATCCGGATCGGTATGCACGCCTTTGCCATCAATTATATGACCGAGGAAAAGCACTTGCGGCTTCAAAAGTTCGCATTTCTGCGGCTTGAGCTTAAGATTCACTTTCTTCAAAGCTTTCAGAACAAGCTCGAGGACGGCATAGTGTCTTTCCAACAAATCCGTAGCAATTAAGATGTCGTCTATGTACACAAAGACCTCCTTGTCTTTCACTCCAGAGCCCTCCAATACCATATCCATCATTCGCTGAAATTCAGCAGGGCTAGTTGTCAATCCAAACGGCAAAACTTCAAACTCGAAAAGGCCTTCACTGGTGGTAAAAGCACTTTTCCTTTTTGCCTCTTCAGATAAGCGGATCTGCCAACATCCTGATATCATATCCAGGGTTGAGAAATACTTTTTCCCACTCAAACTCTGCAGTATCAGATCGATGGAAGGCAGGGGATAGGAATCATGCTTGGTAACCTTGTTTAGTTCCCTGTAGTCTACGCAAAGCCTTAGCGTTCCGTCTTTCTTCTTCACTAAGACCACTGGCGAGGCCCAATCAGATCGGTTTCTGCGAACT